ATCTACTGTCCCTGTGCTTTGGCTTACCCTGGGTGGTATTCTAGACTCTGCCTCGCTTTTCTTCTTCCCTATACTGCACTCCACCACAAGAGTTCTGACAATTCTACCCTCTAGTAGCTTATCAAGTACATCCGCTTTCCAAGACTGCTGGCCCGGTCAGGGCTCTAGTTTCTCCTCAGCAAAGCCATACTCGATTCCCCTTGATGTCCCTCATAGTTCTCCTTCAGAGTGCTTCTAGAGTGACCTCTTCCAAATACACATCTGATCATCCCGCCTCACAGCTTAAAGCTCTTAGTGGCTGCCTGCTACCTGAGAAGGAAGCCTCAGCTCCTCAGTGCGGCCCTTTCCAACCTGAGTCTTGTCTGTCACCTCAGAATCACAGCCAACTCTAGCAGCTACTGTCGCTGGTGTCTGAGCACGTGAGGCTGTTCACATCCCGGAGGCAGTTGGTGCCTTCAGAGAGGACATCTTGGCTGTACATCCTGGGCCAGATTTGGTCACACCACTTCCACTCCATGCAGAATTTCTGTCCACCCATGCCCCACACGGCTCTGTGAAGCCACAGATCACAGGCGCCCTGCTGAGCCCGATGCCATCACCCTTCTGCCTTTAGGGCCTGGCACAGCCTTGGGCAAAGGAGACTGCAGAAGTCTGCCGGAAGAGCTGTATTGAGTGAGTCATTCAAACCCTAAGAGCTGGGCCTTGACTGGGTGGGCAGTGGACAGGGAGGAGGGCAGTCAAACGAAGAAAATGAGGAAAAACTTTGTTAAGAGGTCAGAGTTGAGCTGAATCTTGATGAGGAGGAGATCTGGATGAGTGTGGTAAAGAGAAAACCAGATGGAGCAGTGCTTGAAAAGGCCCAGAGGCCTAAGAGGACAAGGAACATTCAGCTTCAGCATCCAGTCTTCCATTTCTGGAATGCCCATAACAACAAAAGAGCCTAAATTTTTTTTTCTTAAAATTCTTGTTCCTTGAATTTTTCTAAATAACATATATGAATTTCATGCAAAAATTAAACAAAACAAAACAAAACAAAACCCTGCAACCTTTGGTATAAATGGGTTAAGAAACTGTAAATGGCTCAGTTCGGTGGCACATGCCTGCAGTTCTGGCTGCTCGGGAAGATGAGGCAGGGGAAATCGAAGGTTGGGGCCAGCATAGGAAGGTTAGTAAGATTCTGTTTCAAAACAAAAATAAAAAAACACGCTAAAGAGCTGACGGTGTAGCTCAGTGCAAGGTCCTGGGTTCAATCCCCAGCACTAAAGACAAAACTGTGCCCCCCCCCCCACCTGACAACACAGCTCTAAGTAATGACAGGCAGGATACACATGTGAGGTGCTGGAGAATGGAGCAGAGCAGACAGGGTCTGTGCTATTAAATGTGGCACAGATGTAAGTCTTGGAAGAGAACTGCAAATTATGTCATTACTGTGATTACTCTAGGCATCACAATTTTCATTGTTTGAGTTTGCTTTTGTGTGCTTTTCATGGCTTATCCAGCACTAGCTCTGAGTCTTCAGTAATCCCTATGCCTTGGGTTCCTTACTAGGTTGTTAAGTGTAGTACCTACCTCAGAGGGTTCATATCAAAGCTAAGCCACTGAGGTTCATTCCCTCCAACCTTCACACTTTTTATTTTGAGACAAGGTCTTCCTAAGTTGCCCAGGTGGGCATTGGACTTGCAATCTTCCTGCCTCAGTCTTCCTTAGTGCTAGGATTACAGGGGTATGCCACTATGCCTTGCCTGACCAATTAATTTCTAAATCTAAGTTAACTTATAGTTGCTTATACTGAAACTACTAAGAACAACCTTGAAACATCTTCTGCAGTTTACTCCTGCTGATTTATTCACTTGAAAAAACGCTGCCTTAGTGGCTTATAAGTTACTTCCGAATAAAACTTTACAAGCAGACGGGGCCCTGGAGATTGTCTAAGTCCAATGGTCCCATTTTACAGACAGGGAAGTGTTCAGAAGCTTTAGAGTTTAAAGGGATTTATCCAAGGATACACTGAGGATGGCGACTGGTCCATTCTACACTGCTCTGATCTGTACCCTCTCCTTGGTACTGTGCCTACAGTGCACAAACTGTGTGCTGACCCCCAGTCTGTTTATTCTGACTGAATTAAAAGTGACAAAATATCCTCTAGACCGGTAAACATGATTGGCTTCCCTTTTTTACTTGCATACTCTGTGTGCCTCCTCAACAATACGAACTTATGATTAGGTGTTAGTTATTGCTAAAATTTTACCAGTATGCCTAGTGCTTATATTCTTCATCTTCTAAAGCCAATCATTAAGTAAAATCTTGCTTTCCCATGAAATGTTTCTTTTAACCATCTAACTATATGATCTCACCGGTAAGGCCTAGGTGCTGTAGCAAAATTTGTAGGTACATTTTCTGGTCAGGTTTCTAAAACTTTTTGATAGTCACAATTTTAATAGCACAGACTCTGTCTGCTCTGCTCCATTCTCCAGCACGCCTCACACGTGCACCCTGCCCTGTCATTACTTACAGCTGGGTTCTTTTGTGGGTGGGGGTCGACTGAATCCAGGATAGGCTCCATGTTCCAGTCCACTGAGGGTGTACTGGGCCAGCACAGGGTCTGCCCACTCACACACGCAGGGGAGAGGGGCCTGCCTAACCAGGTGTGTTTCCAGGGACCTCAAGAGTCACCTAAGGTGAGGCCTGGTGTTAAGAGATGATGCCTAGCAGGCACTAGATGCCTGCTTTTGGGATTATGGCTCAAACTCTGAGCGTTCAGCTAGTTAGTAAGGACACCAAATCTGAAAAATGCAGATATAAATCCATAAGATATATTAGAAATGATGGGTCAGAAGTTATGAGGACACAGAAGGTATGACAAAGCGGAGGCTGTGTAGAGACAAGGCATATACAAATCAAGAATAAACAGGATGGGGTACCCCCCCAAGAGTGGGCTGTATTTAAAATGCAAGGGTTTACTGCATGAAGGAATTACAACGGTACGTGTCAAAGTCTCATGTAATTCTTCAATAATAGTTAAAATTTTTTATATTTTATTGTCAGTTAAAGAGGTTTAAAAAAAAAAAAAGCGCTTAGACTCACTCCTGCTGTTTAAGGCCCTATGGCAGGCTCCCAGTCTTGTGCGTTAGCGTAAATGAAGGTTTCAGCTGCAGGATAACCTGTGAAACCTCCTTCACCACTACTTGTGTATGCACCTGGGAGACGTTCCCAAAATAGAATGAATTCTTGCAATCAAAACGGTTAATTAAAATACCTGGGAAAGAAAGGGCGCGCTAGAGCCAGCGTACAGCTTTGCGCCACTGCCACTCCAAACTCTTGCAGTCGTCAAGGAAGCTGTATATGAAACACACCGGGGGTCCTATCTCGAACATCAGCAGCTTTCGTCTCCCCCACCCCCAGAAACGTGAAGCGGATCAACTTTCCTAAAGCATGAACCCAGTATCCACGTGGGTGAAACACAGTCCGAGCCCAACTACTTCTTCAGTAATCCGAAGGGCAGGGCCCGGGCTCCTGTCCTCCCAGATGTTAGAGGACCACGACGGTAGGTACAGCACGCTTAGTTGCCCAGGTCACAGTACTCAGCCCGCTGGTGCCGGCCGGCGGCTCCCCGCCCCCGCGGACATCCCGGGACTAACACTTGTGCGCGGCTGGAGGCTGCCATTTTGGAAAACAAAATAAAACAACAAAAAACAGAAAAACAACCCCAAAAGGTTCTCTTAGCGGAGATCCCGAGTTTGACTCAACCCAAATTTCAGCCTCTGCAAAAAATGACGAGGGAAATAACACGCGGCGGCTCAGCCTCGCTAGCGGGCAGCCCGAGCCGAGGCGCACTCCACCTTGGAAGGCGCTCGGGGTCCCGCGCCCGGG